GTTAACTTGAATAGATAAATAATTATATTTTTTAAAACATTGTATATATATATATATATATATATTAAAATATTAAAATAATTCACATATTTATTATGCTTAATGGATCATAAGAGGTTCAAAAATTAGGTAACCCATGTTACGAGGACTCATGTAGTCATGTTAGCGTTGTCATTTAAAAAAGTCATTTAATTTGTATTTGATAAAAAAAATATATTTTTTTTTAAATTATTGGCTCGTAGCATAATGTCAGATTTTTTTATGATCAAATCATCTAGAGTTCGATCATTGTTATCTCATTATTTTGATTTAAAAAAAGAAGTTGAATCTAAGTTTAACTGTTTAAGATACTTATTTTATGTATTTTCCTTGCTTAAAACTAAAAGAACTATTATCTTATGTTGAAAAGCATAGCTAGAGATATAATTAAAATATATATATATATGCTTAAGTTTTTAGTTAGTTAATTCATAACATCTAATTTGTAGCAAACTTGCATGTATATTGTCAAATTCTCTATGGGTTTAATATTAATGACAACGAAATTCTCAAAAAATGAGAACACTATGTACTATATATGTTGAATCTCTTTATATTTTACACTTTATTATATATTGTTTATTATATATAGTAAAAGAGGTATTCTTATAACAGTGCTGCTATTTAGTACTAAAGTCAATCGCACAAATGGATATCGTGGAAAATTCCTGTTTTTAAAAAACAAATATTGATTAAAAGTTAAAAAAAGAAAAAGAGAATTGCTTGATGTTACGAATAGATAGTGTATGAATTTAAAGAAATCAATATATGATAATATATTGCATGATTTTCACCAAATTCACTTTTATTTTACATTTTTATTTTAATTTTCCAATAAAATACAAATAAGTGTATTTGTGCGGAAATGATATATTAAAATGATACAAGGATACCAAAATCCATATACACTTAAGAAAAGTGTCATCTGAAGAATAAAATCATTTGAGTAGTTGGTTACTATATATTAAAATTTAAATATACAATAACCAGCCAATCAATCACCATTCCAAATATAGCAACATCAGTGAGTTAACATTCAAACATTTTATCCCCTGCACCCGATTGTTTTATGCCATGCTATAGAACTAGAATCTGAAAAACCCAACTTAATATTTTCCGTATTATTTAGCAGTACTCTTAGGGAAAATAGAAAATGAAATTTGACCGGAATCAAGTGTTCTGTGTCATAAGAAAACTATTTTGTAACAAGTACTAGCAGTTTCCTTCATAAAATCACATAATTAGCTTATAATGTTGTTCTAACATACTCATTAATTTTCACGTTAAAACAAAATGTTCATTAATTGAGCCATTAATTCCCGTGTACACTTTTGTAATGGGTACACTTAATTTATTGACACGGGGAGAAGGTTAATTACAATCATTTAATGCAAGTCGAATTAAACTATCGAGAACATTTATTTATTTATTTATTTTTACAACAAAAAATATCAAAGTTTTAAGCACTTAAATAACCAACTATAGTACTAATGATGATGATATGTGATAATGATATGTGAGACTCATATATTACAAACACCTATTTGACACTCATTTTTTCCCCTTATCTCTCTCTTCCTATTAAATCATATAATCTATCATGTATATTCCTTTCTCTTAATCTCTCAAGGTGTCTATAACATTAGGTGTCCATGAATTTCATCTTAATACCAAGGCATCTGCATTTCAAAAAAAGAGAGAGAAATACATAAGAGTCAAAGAACGACATTCAAATACATAACATCAAATAGTTGACGGCTCAAATATGAAAATATTAAGCATGATAAGAATTTAAGGACACAAATGACATTAATATTGCTATTCTTATGAATGAAAGAAAATTGTTTACATTTTAATATTAAAAATCATTACATTAAATATTAATGTATGACACAACTCACATAGTAATTTACTCAAATTCAAAATCACCTAAATTCCAATGAAGCCAAGAATGTACTGGTAATTGATTGGTATAGAGCATTTATGTTTGAAGGAGTAAGAGCAGCATGAAGAAAGAAACACCTCTAAATTGTGAATTGCAATTTGTTCTTAATTTCAATAGATGTGGCCTAATTTAATTGCGAAAGCTAAGGAAGGTGGATTAGATGTCATACAAACTTATGTGTTTTGGAACCTTCACGAACCTCAACAAGGCCAGGTGAGTACTCAAACTCTTCTATTTATCCTTTCCCCTGTATTTTCTTTTTAAGCTCATTACTTACAAGCACAATGTTTGTTTCTAGTATGACTTCAGAGGAAGGCATAATATAGTAAGATTCATTCAGGAAATTCAAGCACAAGGTTTATATGTAACCCTCCGAATTGGACCATACATTGAGAGTGAATGCTCATATGGGTAAGTCCCCTTTCCAGCTTTCCAGCACAAAGGAATTGTATACCATGCTATGAACTGAAACATATTATGCTTTCATCAAAGTTATTTTGGCCTTTGGGTACTTTGATGATACTAAATAATATGATAATGATTGTGATTTTGTTGGTGCAGGGGTCTACCAATATGGTTACATGATATTCCGGGTATTGTATTCAGATCTGATAATGAGCAATTCAAGGTATCAATTTCTTGTTTGTCTTCCTTCTAACACTGTAATTTGAACTAGATAATCGTGGTAATTTATCTTTCTCTTGTATTTTTATCCAACTTGCTCTAAAAATCATCAAGTATTTTGGCCATGTCTCCTTGTACCTTTAACACAATTTACTCTTTGTGCAATACTTTCCACTCAAATTCTTCATATCATTAATGGCAGTTTCACATGCAAAGGTTCACTACAAAAATTGTCAACATGATGAAATCAGCCAATCTTTATGCTTCACAAGGAGGACCTATCATACTATCGCAGGTTTAAACTTCAAAATTCAAAGACTTGTCAATTATATATTACTAGGATTTCTTTTAATAAATGGTTTATGGTTAATGTAGATCGAGAACGAATATGGGAATGTTCAAGGGGCATTTCATGAGAAAGGATTGTCCTATATTCGTTGGGCTGCTCAAATGGCTGTGGGGCTCCAAACTGGTGTGCCTTGGGTAATGTGCAAGCAAGATGATGCACCTGATCCGGTGGTTAGTCTCTACGAACTTTCCATGGATTTTTCAAGAATTCGCAATGTTCAATATAATGTTTTCTTATAAGAGTGAGAATAGGGCAATCATGTACTTGTTAAATGTTTTCTTATATTACTAATTCTTATCAATCCCAGCCTTTGACTCACAATACATATTTAGTTGTTATATAGTAAGTTATAACATTATGAATCTGCAGATCAACACGTGCAATGGTATGCAGTGTGGGACAACTTTTAAGGGGCCTAACTCACCTAACAAGCCTTCACTATGGACAGAGAATTGGACTAGTTTGTATGTTCTTATGAAATTCTACATTACAGTTTACAAACCATTTTTTTTTTTCTTAAAAGGGGCAACTTTTAATTATCAAATTGTTTAAGTCTAATGTCATTCATTTCACGTTAAAATTTGAAGTTACCAAGTCTTTGGTGGAGTGCCATACAAAAGATCAGCTCAAGACATTGCATATAATGTTGCCTTATTCATTGCAAAGAAAGGAAGCTACGTCAATTACTACATGGTATCATTAGTGCCCATCACCTTGTTTTTCTTTCTCTTTTCTTTATCCACAACATTTAAGCAGCTATTTTAACATAGCTAAAAATATGTCATTAATTTTCCTTGTTAAGTCACGTTTATGGATTTGATGCAGTACCATGGTGGAACCAACTTCGATAGGATAGCCTCTTCTTTTGTAACGACAGCTTATTATGACGAAGCTCCACTGGATGAATATGGTATATTTCTTATTCAAGTAAATTTGTAGATATTGAATCACTAGGTGATTGACTATGCCAAGGTAACCAGGTTTGGTTAAGCAACCAAAATGGGGCCATCTTAAGGAGCTACATGCGACAATCAAGTCATGTTCAAAATCTCTACTTGATGGAACTCCAACTAGGTTCAGCTTGGGCTCACAACAAAATGTAAGAAAACTAAGCAGAACGGTTGAATATTTTCCTCAATTGTTATCTTCTTTTTAACTAGCGCAAAAAGGGGAACATAACACCTAGTTTATGAAACACATTCTACAATTTTATAAGCTATTCTCTAAAAGATGAATCTTTTAAACAAAATCAATAATTTTCTACCACTTTTCTTCAGGCTTATGTTTTCAAAAGGAGCTCAATAGAATGTATTGCCTTCCTAGAAAATAGTGGAGATCGGAGTGTCACAATACAATTTCAAAATATTCCATATCAATTACCCCGCAAATCAATAAGTATTCTACCAGACTGCAAGAATGTAGCCTTCAACACTGCCAAGGTAAAAATCAAAAGCTCAATATATACCATGTCATTTATTTTAAGACAACTGGAAATTTCTTCTTTTGCCATCTTCATTTGACCATTATTTTTTTTGTATTAATTAAACGCTATATAAACACAACGATGCTATTAAAAGGCAATCCATGTTTTATGCTCTTGTAGGTAGTCACACAAAACAATGCTAGAGCGATGAAATCATATTTACAGTTCAATTTAGTTGAAAAGTGGAAAGTGTACAAAGAAGTCATCCCCAACTTTGACGATACTTCAATAAGAGCAAAAACACTACTAGATCAAATCAGCACAACAAAAGATTCATCTGACTATATGTGGTACACATTCAGGTAAAATAGCTACATATGTATTTAATGTCAGCTACATTTAAAGATGTTTGTTGTACCATATTTTACTAAGATTCTTGTTAACACCATTAAACAATAATCTTGCTCATGCAGGTTTAATGATAACTCTCCGAATGCTCAACCCATTCTTACTGCATATAGCTATGGGCATGTTTTGCATGCCTTCATCAATGGAAATTTAGTAGGCAAGCTCTAAACCTCAACCCATACTACTGAGGATCTCATTTTTTCTTAGGATAGAAGGCAAACATATTTTTGGATAGAAGTAACTACATCCATATGGTTATTGACTTGGTTATTACATAAATACTACTTTAGATTACAATGCACATATTTCCTTTTATCAATTTATCTTTTTTACTACAATTTGAGATGCTAACATTTGGGCTCTATACATATGCTTCTAACTCTAGGTTCTGCACATGGAAGTCACAAAAATGTATCCTTTGTCATGGAGAACAAACTCAATCTTATAAATGGGATGAACAATTTTTCTTTCCTCAGTGCAACAGTCGGATTGCCGGTAATTGTCTCAATTGTCAAGACTTTTATTTTATTCATCGCCAAGTAAATGAAACCACTTGAGAAATAACATATTAAACTAATGCTCATAGCATTTGCCAATTCCAAAGATGAATTACCAAGTAATATGCATGGTTATTTCATTTGAGATGCTTCTTCTACCAAGATTCAAGATCACATTTTAGAGTTGTAGCAAAGCATCTTTTACTATTGAACAAATATCTGCATAAAATGAAACGTATATGATGTCCCAAGAAAAATAATTGATAACATGAAATGTATATTTATTTCTACATGAAGAACTCGGGAGCATATCTAGAGCGCAGAGTTGCTGGTTTGTATAGAGTGAATGTTCAAGGCAGAGATTTCACTAATCAAGCATGGGGATATCAGGTGATAATCTCTATATGGTTAGATTCTAACTTAGTAGACTACAATTAGACCTCAATTATCAATCTCTTGTTTCTTCAATCAAATTATCTTGACATACTATGCAAAATTTAGTTATTAGAATTTAGTTAACATACATTACTTTTCCTATCATTTACTCTTTGAACAAATTTCAATTCAACCTAACCTTATGCACTATCATTATCAACAGCTTACACTTTCATATTATAAAAAATAGATGTGTGCTTGAACTATCAACTCTTATCGCTAATCATTTAAACTAAAATTTTCATGTTGAATTTTTGCATTAAGGTTGGGTTGTTAGGAGAAAAATTGCAAATCTATACAGCTAGTGGATCAAGTAAAGTTCAATGGGAAAGTTTCCAAAGCTCAACTAAGCCACTCACATGGTATAAGGTATATTATCAATTATCAACATTAAAATTTGTTGTTCCATTTTTTCACTTAACCAAACATGAATATTTAAAGGAATCCAACTAAACATGTTAAAAGGCCTTTATGCTAGAGTTTATCACCACCCCCTGTTATGGATTGAAGACAAGATGGAGGCCTAAATCACTTTACCATCACAGTTGCTCACCATTTATCTACAATATTGTTTTAACAGTGCACTAATATTTTATTTCCCTACTTATTATCAGACCACATTTGATGCACCAGTGGGCAATGATCCTGTAGTGCTCAATCTTGGTTCTATGGGAAAGGGATATACCTGGGTTAATGGCCAAGGTATTGGCCGATATTGGGTATCTTTCCACACACCACAGGGAACTCCTTCACAGAAATGGTATGTTCCTTTATCATAATTTTTTTCTTTCAAATTCTTATTTTCAAAAATAGTTTGTGACAAAACACACCAAGGGATGCTGATTTCAAGGAACCCCTTCCCCACAATGACTATAATGCATAATAGTTATGTGATTATTTTAAAAAATAAATAAAAGATGCATTTTTTTATTTTATAAAACCATCAATAATATAGCTTCTTGAATTAAATAAAAAGAAATAAGCATACTTTAAATAATGTGAAACCACTTTCATAATCAGTAACCACATTTGTGAAAAATAAAAGAAAATATCTTTTACTATTTTTTTTTTCATTTTTTGTTTTTCTATTTTAGCTATTCTAAATGATATTCTCTTAGAATACATATTTTTTCAAATAGAAGTAAAAAAAATATTTATAAGTGCCTTGTGTTTGAATAATTAATTTTCTATTTTCTTCATTCTTAGAAATTTCCATCTTAAATTGTTTATATACCTAATAATATAATTAATTTCCTACCTACATGTCATACATTCATTTACTTACAATTGAACATTTTTATTCAGGTATCACATACCCCGATCCCTCCTAAGACCTACTGGGAATCTACTAATTCTACTTGAAGAAGAAACTGGGAATCCACTTGAGATCACTCTAGACACAGTTTACATTACATCACAATGAAAAATCACGCATCATGAGTAAACAAAATTGCTCTATCTTCTTACATGGATGCAGAGAGCCTAGATATATGGCCAAAGGAGAGATATACATTAGCATGGCATAAATCCATCACCACTGGGTACATATTTAGACATCTCAAAAATATAAAAAGAAGGGGGTTACAGAAAAACAAATTGTCATTAATTGTGAGGAATTTTCAATATTTTCATTGATTCTCCTCGTTAACAAGAATCCATTTTCTTGCTAGGTGATACTTATCATCTTTGAACTGCCAATACAAATTACATAATATAAACAAGAACAATCAAACAAAACTTGAGACTTTACATTTCTTATGTATGATTAGTTATCTATTTTCTTCACACTTTAAATTTAGATTTATGTATGTGAAGAATTTATTTACTTAAAAGTTATAACTGGAAATATTTATTTAGGTATAACATAACCAAGTCCCTCCTAAAACCTACTAGGAACCTTATAATATAAATAGTATTTTATCATAATCAAGATAATATAATCAATATGATGTGCATGGGAGAAAGTTCACTTATTTATGATTTCAATTGTGAAGGAGGAAATACATAATATTTGAAGGAGTGCAAGTTATGAGGGAAAAGGGTAAGAAAAGAAAAGAAATAAAATAAAGTATGTAAACAAAAAAGTAGCAATAAAGAACTCAACAAATCACATTATCTTTCGATATCAATCCTAGAAGTTGGGGTTTTACATAAGGCTCCAATAGCAAGTTGCAATGAAGAACTCAACAAATCATTTGTTTTCAATATCAATGCCCATGTGCAAAGTACAAGTACCCATGATATAGCTCTTAAAAAACAAAAAAGAAAAACAAACAGTTTGCTACCATTTAATACCATTCATGCAACAATGCATAGTAAAATCATCAAGGTGTCAAAAACTATAATTTTATATAACTACGTCACCGGAGGAAGTACATATGTACACATCTACATTCATTAAACAAAAGAACTTGTTATAGTAGATAACGTGTTCATTACACATATAAGAACCAAATTAGCCAAAGATAAATTTTTTTTTTTCAGCAGGAGCTAAAAAGTAAACAACCAACTAGGCAAAGTAATTATTTACAGGAAAAGGAAAACTCCAAGTGAAAAAACACGAGAAAAAATAAATCTTTTTTATTCTTTTTTGATGAAGAAGAAAAATATGCACCATCAGTTACAACAAATCAATCAAAGCTAATAAAATGCAAATAACAAAAACGGAAGCCAAACAAGGAGTAGTGAACAGTGTGCATAACAGAATAAGTAGTCTCCTACCACTACGGTCTACCTAACAAATTTTTTATAGCACCATGTCACAACTATGTAAAGTCCATGTCTATCCCAAGAGCCACACCATTTGTCAATTTAATTGAAAAAAATGTTTAATTATATTTTTATTTCTCAGTAATTGTGTGATCTTAACTTCTAAGATTTTAATTTAATAATTCTAGTTATTAAATATTGTAATTATGCGATTTTAATCTTAAATAATTTAAGTTTTTTAAGTATTATAATCGTGAGATTTTAACTTTTTTTATTAAAAATTTTATAATTTTAAAAATATATCACACACGTGTGTATATATATATATATATATAATATTTTAAAATTATATAATTGTTGACCTATTTAATTTAATTTGGGTTACATATACCATAATTTTCATTCATGTATCTAATAATATATATTTATTATTATTAAATAAATAATTTTTTATATATTATTAGTATTATAATATTATTGATAAATTAATATCAATAATATTATTATATATTTATAAATAAATTAATATCAATAATTTTTTATATATTATTAGTATTATAATATTATTGATAAATTAATATCAATAATATTATTATATATTTATAAATAAATTAATATCAATAATTTTTTATATATTATTAGTATTATAATATTATTGATAAATTAATATCAATAATATTATTATATATTTATAAATAAATTAATATCAATAATTTTTTATATATTATTAGTATTATAATATTATTGATAAATTAATATCAATAATATTATTATATATTTATAAATAAATTAATATCAATAATTTTTTATATATTATTAGTATTATAATATTATTGATAAATTAATATCAATAATATTATTATATATTTATAAATAAATTAATATCAATAATTTTTTATATATTATTAGTATTATAATATTATTGATAAATTAATATCAATAATATTATTATATATTTATAAATAAATTAATATCAATAATTTTTTATATATTATTAGTATTATAATATTATTGATAAATTAATATCAATAATATTATTATATATTTATAAATAAATTAATATCAATAATTTTTTATATATTATTAGTATTATAATATTATTGATAAATTAATATCAATAATATTATTATATATTTATAAATAAATTAATATCAATAATTTTTTATATATTATTAGTATTATAATATTATTGATAAATTAATATCAATAATATTATTATATATTTATAAATAAATTAATATCAATAATTTTTTATATATTATTAGTATTATAATATTATTGATAAATTAATATCAATAATATTATTATATATTTATAAATAAATTAATATCAATAATTTTTTATATATTATTAGTATTATAATATTATTGATAAATTAATATCAATAATATTATTATATATTTATAAATAAATTAATATCAATAATTTTTTATATATTATTAGTATTATAATATTATTGATAAATTAATATCAATAATATTATTATATATTTATAAATAAATTAATATCAATAATTTTTTATATATTATTAGTATTATAATATTATTGATAAATTAATATCAATAATATTATTATATATTTATAAATAAATTAATATCAATAATTTTTTATATATTATTAGTATTATAATATTATTGATAAATTAATATCAATAATATTATTATATATTTATAAATAAATTAATATCAATAATTTTTTATATATTATTAGTATTATAATATTATTGATAAATTAATATCAATAATATTATTATATATTTATAAATAAATTAATATCAATAATTTTTTATATATTATTAGTATTATAATATTATTGATAAATTAATATCAATAATATTATTATATATTTATAAATAAATTAATATCAATAATTTTTTATATATTATTAGTATTATAATATTATTGATAAATTAATATCAATAATATTATTATATATTTATAAATAAATTAATATCAATAATTTTTTATATATTATTAGTATTATAATATTATTGATAAATTAATATCAATAATATTATTATATATTTATAAATAAATTAATATCAATAATTTTTTATATATTATTAGTATTATAATATTATTGATAAATTAATATCAATAATATTATTATATATTTATAAATAAATTAATATCAATAATTTTTTATATATTATTAGTATTATAATATTATTGATAAATTAATATCAATAATATTATTATATATTTATAAATAAATTAATATCAATAATTTTTTATATATTATTAGTATTATAATATTATTGATAAATTAATATCAATAATATTATTATATATTTATAAATAAATTAATATCAATAATTTTTTATATATTATTAGTGCTATCATGTTTGCAAAACTTGATCAAACTAAAGTATTAAATAATCAAATTCAGTGTAAAATTATTAATCATCGATTTAAAATCGATGAACATTTCTTTGATTGAAATTGATCTAATTTATTTAATAATCAACTCTATTACCCACTTAATTGAGGGTCATGTCAATAAAAAATTTTTAAAATTTTAACCAAAAAAAAATAAGGGTTAATATTACTCAAATATAATACTTAAGAACTATTTTTCCTCGATTAAATCTTAAGAAATCAAATTTTAATAATTATCATACTTAAGTGATGAAATGTATAATTAAGTTTTTTTTTATATATTTTATCAACTTCTTTTATTTTTCTTTCCCTTATTTTTCACATATTTGTTTCCTTCTTATTAATCACACCCATGACTTTGATCTATGAATAATTTCTTTTACTAAAAATATATTCAGAAACACCTAAGTAGAATAATAATTAAAACATAAAAAAAGCGAGGAAGATATTAAAAAGAAAGACATAAATGCAGCATCTGAAGGTGGTCGTGCGCAGCACCGCCCAATAGGAAAGTGGCGTTTGAATGACGCGCCGAGGAAGCGAATTCGGCAGAGTTTTACCCTACACCTCCCGTTCTCATTCCGGTAACAGCCACGAAAACGCACATCAACACTGTTTTTGCCCCAAACTCAACCCATCTATCACACATCACACATCCAGCTGAGAAGGAGAGAGAGAGAGAGAGATCGATCCTCAAACCCAAAAATATTTCTTCCAACAACAATCCCAACCCTTTGCGCCAATCAACGACCCCACACTCAAAATTTTCCCTCAATTTTTCTCTCTCTTAAACCCCTCTCTCCCTCTCCCTCTCCCTCTCCCTTTCCTCTTCCCATGCCACCTTCTCCTTCAGGTATTCCCTTTCCCTCTAAAACCCTCACTCCCCTCTCTTCTTCAATCTCTCATTTCTCTTCTCAATTTTGTTTTTCGCAGAGAACCGAACCAAATGGCGCAAGCGCAAGCGCGATTCCCAAATCGGCCGGCGCCACCACAAGCACGACGAGGAGGACGACGACGACGAGGAAAACCCCAATGCCGAGGAAGACCACGCCGAACGCGACTACGATTCCGAGGAACAAACGCACCACCACCCTAATTCCCAACCGCACCTCGAGACGGAGGTTCTCTCCGACAACGCCGTCCAGATTTCGCAGTTCCCGCCGGTGATAAAGCGCACCGTCAACCGCCCTCACTCCTCCGTCACCGCAATCGTTGCTCTGGAGCGTGCACTCGAGTCCGGAGACAGCAAGGCTCATAGCGCAATCACTCCTCCGATTCTCGAGAACGTGTCTCACGGCCAGCTCCAGGCGCTGTCGTCTGTGCCAGCTGACAACTTCGCTCTCGACGGTGATCCCTCTTATGTCATCACTCCCCCTCCCATGTTGGAAGGTCGCGGCGTCGTTAAGCGCTTCGGAGCTAAGGCTCTTGTTGTTCCAATGCATTCAGGTGAATTCAGTTTCTATCTCGTGTTTGTTTGGCTTCAGTTTCGTGTTTCAGCTTTGGACAGTTTGAATTGATGTTTGGGGTTTCTAACATAGTTTGAATTGATGTTTGGGGTTTCTAACATTCTGTGAACAGATTGGTTTTCGCCTGCCACTGTGCATAGGTTGGAGAGGCAAGCAGTGCCGCATTTCTTTTCCGGGAAGTCCCCGGATCATACTCCGGAGAAGTACATGGAGTGTAGGAACTGCATTGTTGCACTGCACATGGAGGATCCCGGGAAGAGGGTTACGGTTTCTGATTGCCAGGGTTTGTTGGCTGGGGTTGATGTTGAAGATTTGACTCGGATTGTTAGGTTTCTTGATCATTGGGGGATTATTAATTACTGTGTTCGGATGCCGAGTCATGAGTCTTCCAATGCTGTGTCTTGCCTAAGGGAGGAGCCGAGTGGAGAGGTGCGTGTGCCATCGGAGGCCTTGAAATCCATAGATAGTTTGATCAAATTTGACAAGCCCAAGTGTAAGCTGAAAGCAGACGAAATTTATTCGGCCTTAACTGCACATAATGCCGATGCCAATGATTTGGAGGACAGAATAAGAGAGCATCTATCTGAGAATCATTGCAATTATTGTTCTCGTCCTCTTCCCGCTGTATATTATCAGTCCCAAAAAGAGGTACACTGGATTTTTTTCCAAATATAATAATATATCATTGGTCCTATGGCTGTTATTGCTTTCATCATGAGTAGTGGTCTGGTTGAAGTTATTAATAGGAAGGGCTCCAATTATTGAATAACACCATATGACCTTGCATGAGTGTGGTGAGCTACCATAGCATTAAGCATTCAGTGCATATAGTTGTTCTCCCTCTTTGTTATTTACTGATCTACTTTCCATACTGAGGCTTCTACCATTCTTATGCACACATGCTCAGATCACCCAAGGCAAGACTCTGGCATCTTTTCTAAAATAGATGTTACTCCGACATTTCCCTACGCATTCATTCCTAATTGTGTCTTGTCTAGTGTGTTCCCTTATCCAACACAACATTTTCATCTCTCCTTCGTTGAGTTTATTCTCTTATTGACCAACATTCAATTCCTTACAACATTGCCGGTCTTATAGCTTGTAGTAAGATTTTCCTTTTAAGTGATACCTTTTTTTTTATATCACAGATAACACCTAAAGTACTCCTCCATTTCATCCCACTTGAGTCTTATGGTTTATATCTGCTTTCATTTCTATGTTATCCTATATAATGGACCCTAGATACTTAGACTCTGTAACTTAAGGTAAGGTTTGTTTTCCAAGTTTTATATCTATGCTTGGGTTGTTGCTCCTCTTGCTAAGGATACAATTCATATGTTCCACCTTACATTTACTTAAGTGAAATCCATGTTCTTACAACTCCCCATCTCCAACTTCCAATTTATTTCCTCTCTTGATTTTCTCACTATAACTATTATGTTTGCAAAGAGCATACATTATGGACTGACTCTTGGATATGCTCTGTAAGAACATTTACGACTAAAGTAAAATGATAAGGGCTCAAAGCTGGCCTTGGTGCAGTCCTATGGTTGTAGGGAAATTTGCTACGCATCCATTGTGTTCTCACCCTAATTGTGAGTTTGTGACCTATTCGTACATGTCCTTGATTGCTCAAGTATATGCATCACAAAATCCTTTTTCTATTTGACCTTCCACAAAATTTCCCTTGGCATCCCATTGTATGCCTTTTTCAATTCAACTGAGAGCGTATTTAAATTATTTTTATTCTCTAATTTCTCCCACTCTATACAAATATTAATTTATATTTAATCTTCTTGCACCAACTTCTCATTAACATGCTCATATACTTTGTGTTACATATCCATGGTTCTTTCATAGCATTTTACTTTAAAGCTAAAAGAGTAGTACACTGTTATGAACCCAAAAACAGAGTCTGAGATGTCAGAGAGTTCAAGCTGAGAGAATAGAGAAAGCGAAAAAACACTTTTCTGATGATAGATTTAATAGTGAACTGAAAAAAAAAAAAAAAAAGAAGAGAATCCTCTTTTCAAGGGTTTCCCCTTAAACCAAAAGTTTCCTCTTTTACAACTGTGTTAATGCTCAGTTCTCGATTATTAACAATTCAGAATGAATCCCCTCCTACTATTTGACCAAACCATGTACCAACTAACTGATTCTGTATCTACACTTAACCACCTAATTAATTCTGCAACTATAACTGCTTTGCCTCAACCTCTACCTCCTAAGTCTGGACAATATCCTTATCCACTTATTGATCTCCTGCCAAGATTGTAACCTTCATACCTTTTCTGAGTACTTGTGCAGGGCACACAATGGTTACCCACACTGAAAACATCTACTCCCACTTCCCTTATTCTGATACGGAAATTGTTTAGCTCCTCCTGTATTTCATTGTGGGTATGTGCTACCAAGATTGTCAAATTTGATACAATATTTAAATTGGTGGAGGGTTGATAAACTTGAGCCGTAAACTCTAAGAGTTTACCTTGTACCAAAAAAATTTAAAAATACATAATTACAATATCCAAACCAAATATAATACCATAAAATAAAAAAAGGAACAATATTTTAACTTCATAAGAAGGCATTCCATAGTAACAGAATGATACTACAAACATTTTCAATGATCTAAGTTATGAAATTCTCAAATTTTGGTCCATATGTGTTGCAAAAAATAAATCAAAACTTTCTTATTTTAATAATAACAACCCAAAAATAACTGGCTTTTTGGTTTGGACACCCAGTTTTCATTTTAATAGTATATGATGGCAGTCAGGGGCCCAAAGAACACCTCCTTTACCTTTCAGTTGCACCTGGATTAGTAGGGTTTGGTTGGTCCTTTCACCAGTTGCTGGCTTCCAGTTGTGGCTGTGTGTCCTTTCTCAGGTTGTGGTTGTTGCAGGGAAGGCTTTGCAGATTTAGGAGTTGTAGATGTGGTTGTGACTGGTGGCTGGTTGCAGGTAGAGAATGGTTTGTGTCAATGGTGGCCAAGGTCATTGAAGGAATGATTGATGGGCTTTGCAACACTCAAATGCAGTTGCTGGTCACAATGGATCTTGGAAGTTTTGGGTGACTTAGGTATTGGTACGAAACAAAAGTGGGAATCCTTTAAGTTCTGTTGTTTTGTGGGGTTTTGAGGGATTTTTTCAGCATTGCTATCTACTCGTGACTTGCCCCTGAATTCGCGAGTTTATTCAAGTTCAGCTAAGTTCATGCAAGTAAGTTTACAAGTGTTCTGGCATGTCTTTGATAGGTTAAGGTATAAAAGTAAGCTTGTACAAGTTTGGGCTAAAATTCGAGTTTAACAAGCATGTGTGCTACTGCTCTGGAGTTGGTTATAGAGCGTATTGGAGCTCTATCCTCTCCCTGTACTCTCCTATTTGAGTAATTGGTTCGGTTAACGGCACTCTAGTCTGACTGGCTCTGTAGATGACTATCCTTGAATCAGACCAATTAAGTCAATTGGAGCTGCTCCAATACACCCCACTTGAGAGACAATTGTTCCCCCAGGATTATGGCATAAACTTGTTGCCAGAGCTTGATGCTGAGATTCTGGGAGTAGTTTGGAAGCATGCAGCTCCTCTCCCACAACTTTGGCCAGCTTAATGGCCTTCATAATGTCATTGAGGCTGTGTCTGCACTCTGCATTTTACTTAACCTTAACTCCAATCCCCCCAAGAAATACCTCAAGACAAGCTCCTTTGAGATCTAAGATCTTCAATGCTTGTGCCACCAAGGTTTCATATCTCAGATACACTGCCTAAATTTTATTCTCTGTACTTTGATCAATGCAGGCATCAGCTCATTCCAGGTCAAGTATGGCATTTTATTTCTCAAAATATGAAACCAATGTTCTGCTAAACCTTCCATGCCAACAAATGTGAGTCTCTGTCTGCTTGGTTTTCTGTACCTCAAAGAATTTCTTCTCATGAGCAATCCACCCAATTGTGTTGCAACCACTGAAATTAGGCAACTTGGCTTTCCTTTCCCAAGACTGACATTCATTGACGAAGAACTCATAATTTCCATCCTCTACTGTGTATCTGTCTTCTGCTTATTCAGCTGCAGAATTGACATCTCTTATGGGGTTATTCCTTGTCTTCCTCCATCTAAGGGCTTATTACTGTTTCTTAATCCCTTTGTACAGTATTTATCAATATCCTTCTGTATCATCCCTATTCTTCCAGATTTCTGCCACATGCATTCAGTAATCCAATTCCATGGTCACTGATTGTCTTCAAAACTCCACCAAATTCTCTAATGATTCTATCCTCTGTTACATTTCTTCCCCGGTAAGAGATCTTGCCGGTCAGATTTTATTATTACTTATTACTAACGCAAAACTAAATATGAGATTAAAAGAGTACTGAGAAAACAGAGAGCTTAGAAAGTGATTGAATGCTTTTATGATGTAGATAGTATGACAATTCAGAGAAAAACAGAATTCTCCTTCCAAGCATTTCTCTGATCAGTTCTCCAATATTAACAATTCAGAATGAACCCTAAACTATTTAGCCAATTTTATAACAGTTTAATCACTCTAGCATCTAAGTATCTAACTAGTCTATAACTACTTCAAATATTTTTGCCTCTCATTCTTGCGTCCAGGGTTCTTTCATATACTAGACTGTTTGTTACTGTTATTACTAGTGTCTTGACTTAATATTGTATTGAGATTGAATAGAGCATGTCTTTTAACCATTATAATGACTGATGTGATGACTGTTCTGACAGCAGAGAAATATTTACTATTTTGAGTATGTGAGGGTCTGTGTGCTTGATTAAAGCCGACTATTTAATGTTTTAACCAAGACTAACATTATATGCTGAAGTGTATAGTACTAAAATTTTTGTAAACTATTAGATGACCCTTGTCCAAAGCAAGTAGGCTGTAGAATAACTTTGAACACCTTTTCCTTCTTATGTAATTAGCATCTATTTTTACAGGTTGACACTTTACTCTGCACGGATTGCTTCCATGATGGGAGATTTGTCATTGGTCATTCAAGTATAGATTTTATAAGGACAGATTCGACAAGAGATTATGGTGAACTAGATGGGGATAGTTGGACTGATCAAGAAACTTTACTACTGCTTGAAGCAATGGAGATTTACCATGAGAATTGGAATGAAATTGCTGAGCGAGTTGGTACCAAGTCAAAAGCACAATGCATTCTTCATTTTCTCCGTCTACCCATGGAAGATGGAAAATTGGAAAATATTAATGTTCCTAGCAGGTCCTTGTCATCCAATGTGATGAATAGAGATGATAGTGGAAGACAGCATTGTTACTCAAACGGAGATACTGCAGGTCTGTCTTAAACTTTTGAATCAACTTGGTGTTATATGGTTTTGATTTGGTATCTATGCTCTCACAGGACCTGTCCATCAAATCAGAGATCCTGACAGCCGGCTTCCTTTTGCGAATTCTGGAAATCCTGTTATGGCTTTGGTGGGTGACTGCTAATGATATGCCTGTTATAACTACCTTTAGTTCTTTTATAAGAAACAAGTGATAATGTATTTTACACCGTCATCTATTTCTTATAAAAGGAACTCGAGGTAGTATTCATTTAAGAGATGCAATTGAAAACATGTCATCAGTCTAGGATGTGATTATAGTACAACACCTAACATCATGTCCCTAAATAGTTTATTCGTGTTTATTTATAAAATTTAACAAAAAATATTATAAAAGAAACTTGTTTCTTCAAGTTACATTGCTTCTCTTTGAAGGAGCAAATTTATTGACCACGACACTTCCCTAACGAAAGCGTAAAAGGGTGACATGTTGACTAAAATTTATTTAGACACTGGATCAGAGTTTCACAACAAATTAAACTACCTTTTGTATTCTGCAGTTCTTTTGATGAGATTCTTACACGTTTGGTTTTGGTTGGTGCATTCCAAAGGTTGCTTTTTTAGCCTCTGCGGTTGGACCAAGAGTAGCTGCTTCTTGTGCTCATGCAGCATTAGCAGTATTGTCGGAGGATAATTCTGGAAGCACGTCACAGATGGAAGCACCAGGACATGATAATGTTAATAGGTGAATATGTACATCCCATCGTCTGCTTTTGTGCTGTTTTTTTTATTAAAAATTTCTTAGACTAGAATGAACCTTACCTAAAACTCTCCCAAAAGGGGGAAAAAGAAAAGAAAAAAAAGGAAAGACAACATTAAGTTGTGTCCGTATCCCTGTTCCTATAGTAGAATGGAATGGTCGGTAGAGTGAGAAAAAAGCTCAACTTGAACTGTTGTTTTTGTATAGTTGCTAGTTTATGTACTAAAAATTATTATTTTTCACATATGAAGGACAAATCCAGAAAGTCGAGATGGTGGCCTTCACGGAGAAACAGCGATTTCAAATAATCATAATGGTCAGTTATGGTTACTGCTTTTATGTCGCTTATAGATAACCTTACCCCATCCTCTAATAAAACCCAATATGTAATTTTCTACTTGAGAAATATTTTCTTTGATTTCAGAGGATAAGACAAAAGTAGGTTCATGGGGTCTAAATGAGGGTAGGACAACCCCACTCGCTGCTGAGAAAGTTAAAGATGCGGCTAAAGCAGGCCTCTCGGCTGCAGCAATGAAAGCTAAATTATTTGCGGATCATGAAGAACGAGAAATTCAGAGGTTATGTGCTAATATAGTAAATCATCAGGTATCACTGTTTTTTTATTTTTACTTCAATTCCAGTTTGTTAAAGTATTAACTAAAATATCAAATATAGTTCATCTCGTGTCTATTTCCATGTGTAAAAACCAGATAAATATTTTTTGTACAGAATAGGGTAAATTATGTAATTGAAGATAAACTCAATCAGTTGCAGAGCTAGTATTTTGATGTATTTAACTTGTGTTGGTGGCTTGCTGCTATTGACAGCTGAAAAGATTGGAATTGAAGCTGAAACAGTTCGCAGAAATTGAGACATTGTTAATGAAAGAATGCGAACAACTGGAGAGAACAAAGCAGAGGTATGCAGCTGAACGGTCCCGCGTGATATCAGCACGTCTTGGAACTCCAGGAGCCACACCTACAATGAATGCATCAGGTGTTGGTCCCTCAATGGCTAGTAATGGAAACAATAGGCAACAAATGATCTCCGCATCTCCCTCGCAGCCCAGCATCTCAGGGTATGGCAACAACCAACCAGTTCATCCGCACATGTCCTTTGCCCCACGACCGTCAATGTTTGGGTTGGGGCAAAGATTGCCCCTATCGATGATACAACAATCACAATCAGCTTCTTCAACTGCCATGTTCAATGCCCCTACTAATGTGCAGCCCACTTCCAATCATCCATTGTTGAGGCCTGTATCAGGAACTAACTCTGGTTTATGATAAATAGGGGAGTAGATGTAAGTTTTGGAACTTATAAAGTGTAATTTTATTTGGTAATCGATTTCAGAAGTGAAGGGGAAGTTAGGTGGAAGTGCCAAGAAAGTTATTTAGTAAGTAGAGCCTGTAATTGGTTGCAGTTGATTGTGAAACTGTTGCTTAAAGGAAATAAGTAGCATTTGATATTCCTTACTTCTTTCTTGTGGTCTTTAGGTACCTTGAACTTTGATTAAGTGGCACATATCTTGTGGAGTTAGATTAGACTAAAACTACTTGGATGAATAAGGACCACGTTATGGTGACTTTTGTCTTCACTCCTCGTGGTATTTTATGCAGTCCATTGTTCTAGGTTTTGTTTCTAGTGAGCGGTTTGCCTCCATAAATACTGTTTTCTGGATTTAGCTCTTTTTTCTTTTAACTATTTTAACGGTATAAAGTATTTAGAGTCGAAGGCAGTGATTAATTTTTGTTGGAAACCTTAAATGTATACAAGATGAATATTTTTTTTTTAACATAATTTATATTATATTCAAGGTCAGAATCTGAATTCTAAACAATTTGGTTTAAAGATATAAGTTATTTTTCCTTGTGCTAACAAATGTTTGTAGTTTTTGGTTTTAGCCGTCTCTAATATTTGTCGACAATTAAGTTTTAAACAATTTGAAACTCATTTCTTGTGTGTGAAAATTGAAAAACAGCTTCACTTGCAATATAAAATTGAAGTTTCACGTGGGGCGAATAAATTTAAATGAAATTAACACTTCTACTGAAAATGATTGTAGTACAACGAGTACAGGAACATAATGCAAGTTTTTTTATTTTTATTCAAGTATTACTTTCGATGTCAACGTGGATAATTTGACATCGAAAAAAGTTAAATTGTTTCAAGGAGTGATTTATGAGAATTTGAAGATAAATAGAGGTGGATCTCACAGAAAAAAAATACCTTATAAAGAAACAGAATTTGCTAGAAATTTAAGAAAAGACAAAATTTTACATATTAGTTATTTCTTCTTTTTTTTTCTCATTTTATTAAATAATGATTAGATGCAATAAAAAATAATAATTTCAAATTTTTAATTTTTTTTCTCTATTTTTTACCTAATTCTACTCTATCAAACAACTATAAATTTTACTCTATTTCTTATTAAATCAATTCTCACCATTCTCTCACATTCTCTTCTATTCCTACACCTGTTCCAAACAAAGCATAAACTGTTTTATTATTATCAAATTTTCAATAAAAGCAAAATTATAACTACGATAAATAACTCCCTATTACAAAATTGGTCTATTTTAGAGTATAATTAAGGGGTTCATCACTTAATCGGCCAAATTTCAGTTTTATACTTTCAACATTTTTTACTTATTTTTTTAGTCTCATTAATTTGACATCTACATATTTTTCCGTCATCTTAAAAAGTTAATTTTTAAAGAAATAGAATTTGTGCGAGACTAAAGTGAAAAATACGGATATGATCCTGGCCTCTCCATTACTTTTCATACTTCCACTAAATTTTTGTCTCTGTGCCGGAGAAGCAGCACTGCAGGAGATACACCCCTCTGTTTTTCCGTTAGAAAACACAATTCCTAAAGAGAGGCCCAAATTTTATAGCAACCCAAAACCAAATACACTATTTCCGTTTCCTCTCAACACCTGCGCATTGAAATAACGTTAGCGACTGACTGGGGAAACCCTCTTACCTGTCGGTGTCACTATGAATATTGATAACAGCACTTCACTATTCCCTCTGTCGCAACTTAATTTCTCTCGCCAAATCAAGGTACCATGTTTTCTGCTTTATGCTCTCAAACTCAATCAATAGTAGCTGTCTTTCAATTTATATTATTTAACATTAACAATTAATTTTGACAAGTTGCTTACTTGTCAGGGAAATGAAACAGAGATTATCATTTCCAGATATGACGATCATTTTCTGGTGAGTGCGGATGGAGTTGTGATCTATGTTTTTATGCTGACAGTGCTTAATTTTCTGACTACTACTTATTAGGTTATTGCCACTCAAATAGGAACCATGGGGACAATGTTGTATGCTAGGTATGCATGTCACTTCTCTACAATAACTTTGATTTCATTTATGTTTCTTGACAAATAAAATTTTGAGCATAAAATTCTCAGAGAATAAATAGTACTACTGAAGAGAATTCCACATTTGACACCTTATGTAGAGTTTTATGAGAAATCATTGCCTTTGTTAGATTAGAGTTAGACTCAGTCACTTGGGTTACCTTTGATTAGAATAGCAATGGACAATGGTCTATCTCTTGTTGTCGTTGATAAGAATTTTTTGTGAGATATTATTGCCTCTATCTTCAGGTCCATGTTTTTGTTGATAAGAAATCTGGCAGGTCAGATCAATCTTGTTACAGACCCAAGATAAAGTTCTTAAATCTTAGGAAGAGAATTAAGGGGTGGAGAAGAGAGAAAGAGGGAACTATTCTAGTATTCTGTAATGATTTATTGAATCAAAAACAGAGATCAATGGAGAGAATTAGAATCCCAATTCCCTTGGGATTCACTTCAGCATAGGATTTTCCCTTTTACAAATGCTCGGTTCCCCAAACTTTACAATCTGAATGAATCCCTCTTCTACACCTCCTCTATTATTCAAGGCCCTGATCTTATTAACTTTACCTGCCTAACTGATTTGACTCATTTTCCTTATTTTCTCTTTTCATCTTTGGATACACCTTCCATGTTTTCTTTTCATTCTTCTGAATCCCTTCAAACCTACCATTTGTGGGTTTGGTTTGGTCAAGAGACTCAAGACCCTTGTGTTCATGAGTTGGCCCAACCCATTGGACGCCCATATTGACAACTAACAAACAAATCGTGCAAAAGTTATGAGAACTAGGACTTTAGAGAATCCTTGGTTTTTTTGTCAGCTTAAAATTCTGGTTCATCATGCACTTTCAAAATAGTGATATGCTTCAAAAAGAAAAGTTTCCTCACACAGTTGCACATGTCTTTCCAATGCCAGAAAGGAAGAAGGGGTGTCAATTAATCCGACATTCAACGTTTCTGTTATATTTGGCAAACGGGATGAGGTATGCTTGCCTATGTCTGAAAATATTTGTTCTCTTTGATCTTTTCCATGATTATTCTTCTTGTTAACTGAATCCATTGATGCAGCCAATGTTAATAGCATGTGCACGTCAGCTGATTGAGCATTTGAGGTAGGTATTCTTTTCTTCCTTAAGAGAATCTGAGTTTTTATTACACATCTTCTGGAGTGTTCAACTTAACATTTCCTCAAAATTAATGTGGGTTTCAAATATCCCTTAAAAGAGATATTTTAAAACAGTTGTCAATATATGATCCTTGAACATGTATAATTTAATAATTCATTTCAGAAATCATTTTGACTCTCCAATTCCTGATTTGCAGTTTGTCTGGTTCCTCCAGGCCATTGGTGCTCTCACTTGGTCTTAAAGATCATTCTGCGGTATGTTATACTGCTTTGCTCTTCTTCATGGGAAAGGAAAAGAAACAACAAATAAATAACCATACACATATTTCAATGTTCTATGCAGGAGACATTGAAAGGCATTGTTTCTGCAGTGATCGACAATAGCACGTGGTAAGAAATTGCTGATGAAATGTCAAATTTAATATAGTATGCAGAACTGCCGCATAGCTCAACCTTGTGGAGTTGCAGTGATTTTTAATTAGTGAATGCTGACTATTTTTTCTACCTTATTAGTATTTTCCAAAGTAAATGCAACAGTGTATTTCTGACTTTTGCACTTCAGATTAGAGTACGTAATTGACATTTATTACTGCAAGATAATCAGATTTTCTACTGTTAGGTGTAACGGATCGAAGTACTCAATTAATCAACTTTTCATCTTATGGTATGCAAACTTGGGTTAATATTGTTTCCAGTGAGTTGCTAATTGTCTGTACTTACATTCAGCCACTCAAAGAAGGGATTGGATTTTGAGGTCAAAATTTCAAATTTATAATAATTTTGTACTCCATCTTGACTGCTATACAACGGGGAAAAAAGTATAGTGGCCTAAAATGAGTAATTTTTAACTAACTTCATCATATTTAATGATAGTGTTCTGAACTACGTACCCTTCATTTAATTGAAATGTTGTTTTCAATGACTTTTTTTTTTTTATATAAATCAAATTCCAGTAAAGGATAATTTAATTAGAAGAAGTTTATATCTTTTTAACGAAATTAGAAAATTCAATGATACGGAGAACTAATTTTCTTAATTAAAATGAATTATTTATTTTTCTTATTTATCAATTTGAAAGGAGTAATATAAATGTTTTGAATTTTAAATATGTGTGGAAAATTTGGAGAGAATAAAGAATGTATAAATAAGTAGAGTCGGAAAGTGGAGAAAAAAAAAATATTTTAAGATCAAAATTTTCCTATTGTTGTCACAGTGTTCTAAAGTTAAAAATACATGTATAATATGCATAAGATTAAGGGTGTGATTTCAATGCACTTAAACGGAAAAGCATGAGTGTGGATGGATTGAGTTCAACGTACATTTAGCTATTCTAAACGGCAAAACAAACATGCACTAAATGTATCTCATCGCATCAATAACAATGGACGATAGTATAAATATAAAATCCAAATGATCGAAGCACGATTACTAGTTTTTAGGAAATTCTTATGTTGTCTAGAGAATTTCTATTGTTGGAGGTTGATTTGATGAAAATTAATAAGGAGCTACGATTACGAGCCAAATGCTAATGAATCAAATAAAAATGTAATAGTGAATAAGCTAAGTTGTTATGTTGTCTAGGGAATATCTCTTGTTGGATATTGAATTGATGAAAACCTACATGCAACGAAGATTATGAACCAAAGGCTAATGAATGAAATAAAAATGTGATAGTGAATAGGCTAAGTTGTGGTGATCTTAATTTTTGTGTGTTCAATTCTATTAAACTTGTATTATCTATTTATTACGAATATGCTACAATTTTTACATGTAATTATTGATTATGATTTACGATTCTTTTTTTTTGGCTTAACTTCTTATTTGATCATTTAAGAAATTAGAATCCTAAAGCTAACGTAACGAACAGAGGAATTGATTAATTAATCAATTAATCTATTTGAAAACTAAGATTGAAGGTCGGTCATGCATCAGTACATAATTTGATTATCCTAAACATCTACCAATTAATTACGATGTGATTGTTGTTCAATTAATCAATTCAAACATATAAGGATTGATCAACCGAAGAGTTAAGGCAATAGAATCTAATTGACTGAATAAGCAATAACTTAATTGAAATTAAAACATTTTGAGTTTTAAGCACAAATTACACCATAATTGTAATTACAGATTTAGCTGCCGGTGGTCATAGGAGATAAACATAAACATTTAAGAATCCACAAAGAATTGGTTTGCAATTGGCTGTGAAGTAATTCTTAAGAAATTCTTTCATGTGGACTTTAGATACCATGAAAGTTTTTTGTCTTCAGAAATCCCTTTTAATAGATTACCACATCTCTAGTGTGCAGTTTGTCTCATGAATGTATAAAGTTTGCCTAAAAACATAAAACTCGAGGTAGAGGAAGAATAGAAGAGAAGAAAACAATTCATTCTCAGAGAAAATGGTTGTAAATTGTAATACAACGAATACAATACATTACAGACTGTAACATCTTGCTTTCAGTCACGCCTTTCATTACAAAGTAAAATTTGACAAAGCTACTTACTATTGGGGTTTATTATTCAAAAACTTTCAAGACCTGTTGGTCCTGGGGCTTACACTGAAGTGGTTAAATTTCTCTACAACATAAAATAACATAAAAACTTATCTATAGTTATGTATTTAGTACGCACAACAAGCACATGGTGACAATTTGAGAGGAGAATTCTCATGGTCCAAACATTACATTCACTTCCAATCCATCATTTTGAGAGCCAGCCATCATCTGTCTCGTTGCTCATTAGAATGAATTGAAAGCAGTGCAATGTTTAACGCTTATGAGCAAAACCCTTCTTTTGGTGATGCATTTTATTTATGAACAAAACCCCTTCTCCTATTGTGGCAGTGGAATATCAGCCAAATCTTCTCTATAGGGAACTTGGCTCAACTCTAATTGACCATTATTCATAAATCCCTTTTCCATGTGGGTTTGCATTGCTGGTTCATTCTTTGTCTCAATATATGTCTTGACAGTGTCTTTTCTGAAGGTTAGGTAGATTACTGCGCCAATATAAACTGCCATCAGAGGAAACACTATGATCCCAATGAACACATTCGCCATCTTTGGTAGACTATTATGAATTAGCCAATCCACGAAGGCAGTAGAGAGGTAGTACACATTGATACCAATGATCCCCAAGCCTAGTATCCATGAGATCACAATGATCTGCACAAAATTATGTCACATTTTTTTCAATCTTTAACTAAAAATATCTCTAATATTGCTCTAGGATAATGGCTAGTGGCCACTATTATATTATGGGATATTAAAACGGAATACTTGTATTGAAGAGGGAAAAAGACAACTCACAATTATAGAATTCTTGTGAGGTCCCATTTTGATACTGCTGCTGCTAAACTTAAGCAGTGGAATTAAAGCGAATGGAAGCTCAAAAGAAAGTATCATCTGCAAAACAATTTTGGATGTATTCTATCATGATTTTTAATACAAATAATTATTTATTAATTTCTTAGCTAATGCTCTTAAAACATTTATTAGTAGGACTTGAGAAAGCAAAGAAAAGAAAGACAAATTCTAGAATATACAAACCGATGCAATGATGATAAGCCGACCAGCCCCTGCAGAACCACCAATGATGGAAACAATGAGACTAGGTGTTATGGCAATGCACCTAGTCACAAGGTTTCTGATCCACGTTTTCATCCTCATGTCCAAGAAACCCTATAGCACCAAACCAACAACTTGAATTGAGTAAATCCTTCATCAAATTATTAAGAAAAAGGGTGTTTGATGATTTTCCTAAATAACCTGCATGATGTATTGCCCTGCATAGGTTCCAGTGATAGCTGAACTTTGTCCTGAGGCTAGCAGTGCTACAGCATAAACTGTTGAACTCGACTTTCCCAACACATTCTACATACAATGAAATTAAAATTTCATGTGAAATAACTTGGAGCTGAGTTAGGATTAAACTTAAGATTATGATTTGACTACGACATTGGCATGGTAACTTATGTAGAATTGAATTAAGAACCTTGAGAAGGAAGGAAGCACTGTTAAGGGTAAGATCGCTGCAGTGACCAGTATTTTCTGCAGAAAGATTGTCAGCAGAGCACACAGTTCCCGTTACAGAAATCATTGCAACATTGATTAGAAATGCCACAAACAGTGCGAACGCACTTTCTATGAGAAAGTATCTACATGCATCCTGCGCAATCAAGAAAATGCGTCATATTAATTTCATTTTAAAGATCGTCACTTAAACTTTCTTTATTTCCTGAGTGGCTTACATTGATGCCACGCACGGAACTTGGTACTTTCCTAGACAGCACCAGAGCAGAGTGGAGGAAAAGATTGTGCCTGCATTTTGTCAACAGAAAAGCATTAGGCAGTGAATATTTAAAGAGATTATTGTTATATAAACTTAATTAACTTGGCTGCACTATGCTAATTAAATTATAACATGTTATCATATTTAAGTGATTTGATAGGGTATAAAATAAAAAAGAAAGAAAAGTAATAAAGTTAAAGAGAGTACGGCATGACAAGGGCACCCAAAAGGGCAATAGCATCTCCTGTGGCTCCATGACCACTGAGTTTTGGGATGAACATTCCTTTGATTACACCAGAAGCAGGTGGTTTCACGTAGCTCAATTCCCCAAAGAAACATCCAGCCATTACAAAAACTAGCATTGATATCAGCAGTTCTAACTTCCTTACCTGTCCAAACCCAGTAACATGTCAATAACTAATCTTACTCTTCAAAATCATCAAAAAGAAAAATTGAAAGAAAATTAAACATTATTATGAGACTTTAGTACTATCTTAAATGAGATATATTGTATCTTCATAATTTTAAATTATTGCAAAAAACTAAATTACCCCAAATCTCTGCAGACCCAGAAACAAGAGGGTGCTACAGCCAGTAACAAGAACTCCTGCCCATACTGGGATTTTGAAGAGTATGTTCAACGCGAAGGCTGTGCCAATCACTGCCACAATCAAGTTTGGTTTAAATTAATGAGCATAAAAGTGTAAAGATTAATTCAACTTAATTAAAAACTAGTAATATTAATGCTATATTTTTGTCAAGTTCATGAGAATGCTTTTAACAAGAGGGTAATTAATTTTGGAAAACGAGCTAATGAGTGAAGTTAGCCAACCAGGAATGGTTGATAATACTTGGGGACCAGGCGTGGTCGAGAATACTCATTGAGAGCCTGAAGAGGCTGAACAAAGAATACTAGCGCTGACAAGTGAAGTTGGCGGGCTAGAAGTTGTCGACAATACTTGGCAAACCAGAAGTGGTGATAATACTTGTACTTAATTGAAAATCTAGTGGAACCCTTCAATTGAAAGAGACTAGACGTAGCTCAGTCTGAGCGAACCAGTATAAAATTTTTTGTACTATTTATTTGTTTCAGACGCAATTTCGTTTAGTTGAAATCATACTAAAAATTTCGTCCATTACATATTCTTCACTGCAACTTTCTTTAGACGAAAAATACACCTGCTTAACTCATTATGTTAAGAAACATTTTCCTTGTGCAAACGATAAAATCTCATACGCAAAATCTTTTGTTGAGCTAATCCTACACAGTTTTTAAGTCTTCAAAATAATATTTTTATTGGACGAAAAGGAGTCTCTCTGCGAAAATGATTTTAAAATTCCTTCGTACACACACATATATTCAACCCCCCTTCTATGTGTTTTTCCTCTAACTTCAATTAGTATCAGAGTTTGACCCCTTGGGTTGAGCAATTAACATTGCAGGGGTAGAATACGATCCATGGAAGAATGAAGGACAAACGGGAAGTTGAAAAGCAAGAAGGACAAACAACTGGTATAGGCAAAACAGGTATCAACTCATTTACTTCAATGAAACATGTTCCAAATGTTATAAAAGTAGATCACATCAAATACATTGGAATATTAATATATTTACTGTCCAGTTTCGTTTGAAACTCAATAGGAAAACAAACGTAGTAAACCACTACGTCTGAATATCCCTTAGAGTGCAGTAAAAAATAACTGCGTCTGAGAATCTTCGTCTGATAAAGTGTCTAGATAATTTCCCTTGCGTCTGAATATACAGTCCTTGCGTCTGAAAATTCAGTTTGGCATATTCCTAATGAATGACCTTCATCATTAAACTTGAAATCTGTCTAGAGCAGTCGGAGACAAACATTCTCCGCATTTAAAGGATAAAAATTTAAATAAATGAGTAACAAAACCGTCATTGGGGGTTTTTATTTGAAAAGACAGATCTTTTACCCTGAATTAAATGCGAGTTGTGCATAACACACGTCACTCTGCACGAGGAAGGCAAAAGGGCTCCATGTCAAACAAATAATAATAAAAACAGAAATATTTTTCTGTTTCAAAATCCTTATATCTTCCCTCGTACTCACTATCTTACTCCATACTCTAAAGACCTCAAACTTTCAAGTTTTCTCTCTGAGCCCAAAACCCTAATCACTTCAAATCTTCCTCACTCATTACAATGGCTACCCCAACTAAGAACGCTCCAACTGTGACCATTCCCATAGAAATGCGCAAAGCCACTGACTGCGCCCATACCTTCTCTATGGAGGTAAAGCCAGTGATGTATCTAGAACATCACTTCAACATCAGTTAGATGAAGGAATGGGGAATACCCATCTACGAGGATTTGGCTGACTGTGGAATCTTCAAGTATTTCAACATCAAGGAGGTTGTATACCCTGGCTTGGTGAAAATGTTCTATGAATCCCTGAAGGCCTCTCAAGGTTTCTTTGAAGGAACGGTGCTTGGAGTAACCGTCAGAGTCTGTCTTACCACCATCGCACAAGCCATTGGGTGTGAGAAGACAAGCACCATCTACCACAAGGGGTGGATGTCTAATGTAGGTGGTCTGTCCCAGGTCACCAAGGTCCTTCACAAGGAGGGTGAAGGAGGACCTATAGCCTACAACAAGTTTGAAGATAAGGCTAAGGTCTATCAGCAGATACTGAACAAGTCGATCCTTCACAAGGTAGGCGCCAAGTTCTGCTTGTTCTAGATGATGACTAGAACCGCTTTCAACCTCCCTCAAGTCCTCTTTCAGCACTGGAGAGGGTGCTTGAAAGACAACAAGGAGTTCGTGGTTCACACCATGATCCTCAACAAAATCTTCTAGGACCACAAAGTCTACCACACCTTCTTTACCATTGAAGAAGAAGAGAGACAGAGGATCATGGCAATGGGGAGAAACAAGAGGTTGAACCCCATTGTCTTTAGAAAGGCAAACCTAGGGAAAATGCTAATAAGCTACAACATCTTTGACCCCACAGTAGCCTTGAAGATAAAGAAGGAGATCGGAGGAGAACAACCGATGACGCGTTTTAGCAAGAAGCGCCAACCCTCTCTGTCTCCAAAGGAGGATAAACCTTTGGTTGTTGCTGCACAACCAGCAAAGAGGAGAATGATCCTCCAATCCGGATCAGACGAAGAATCTGCGTCTGATGTAGAGGATAGCCAACCCATAGGGAAGACACTGAAAATAAAAGCTCATCTACCTCCTCCAGCTTCCTTCTCCATGCTTGCACGTTGACCTGCCTTTGGACTTAAGCAGAAGTCTCCTCCCTCCTCTCTAAAAGAGCTTGAAGATCAGTCTAGACATCCTCCATCTACGTACTATCTTCTAAAGCATTTTCCAGCCCTTACTGTTAAAGATCAAGTCATTTAAATACATTTAAGACCCTTTATTATCCTGTAATGGTTAGATGTTACTTTCGGGCAGAATTGTTAAGTATTTGGTTAGGCTGAGTACTTCTTGACCTAATCAAACACTTCAACTTGAATTAGAATTACTATGTTTATCCTTCTATAATAAAAGGCCAACAATATCTCAATTTTAATACGTATCCTATACAAACATCTAATCTATCTACTCATTACATGTAATACACATTTTTTAATTGAGGTAAACTTGGATAGTTTAATAAGAAACTTTTCTAATTCTCTTTTGTTGGAGAACCTCGAGCCAAATGAGTAAGAATAAAATTGTCACTATAAAATGAAATATAATATGTAATAATAATAAAAGAATAGCATAAAGTGCATAACAAAATAAGTATTTTTTTTATTAAAAAGAAATAAGTGTTAGAAACTAAAATTAAAGTTTAATAATAATAATTTTGACATATAAATCATTTCATTAATTAATTGACATTTATAATGTTTCTTTTAAGTTCATTTTTCAACTTTTATGTTCTCATTCATTTTGTATAAAATTTTGTACAATATGATTAAAAATTTAAATTTTTTTCTTGTGGATTTTTCATGCAAATTAACTTCTTTTATGAATTTTGTTAGGTTTTTTTTCTTCTTCAAGATATGCAATGATTTTGAAAAAAATATGATTATTTCCTTAAGTTTATTGAAAAAACAATGAAACTTTTAATTTTTTTTATAGGTTTTCATACAAATTGTATTGTATTAGGGACGGATCAATGTAATTAATTATGAGGGCAATTATCCCCTCTAAGTTTTCTATTTTTTTACTTAAATGCATTTAATAATAAAATACGCCCCCACAAAAATTAAATACTATCTTTTTAAAATAATGATTTTTTGAAATGAGTACTGTAAAATTGTTATAGATAAAAATAAGAATAAATTAGTACTAATTTTATTATTTTTGTCATAAATTTTATCATTTTATTCTTAATTTAATACTAAACAAACCACACAAAATTACAAATATATTTTAATAAAATATATCAAATAAAAAGAAGAAATTATCGATTGATTTATTAAATAGTTTTAATTTATAGAAAATAAGGCATTTAGTTTTTTTCATGAATATATATTTTATAAAAATTTATTATATTTTTATTTATAAAAATATTACATTTCTTTATCCTACTAAAAAAAATTCTAAATCCGCCACTATATTGTATAAAATAACTTAACTTCTCTTGCAAATTTTTACAATAATAATTTACAATAATTTCTCTCTTTTTTATTTAGTAAGAGATAAATACATAAAATCGTAAAAAAAATAATCAATGAATACATCAATAAAGTAAGAAAAAGATGTTTTAATATCACAAAATATTCAAATAAAAATAATTATTATTTAAGTAATATCATTTAATATTTAAATCACATATAAAAAAAATAATATTATCTAATATATTTTGGTCCCTTCAATTTTTATTTATTTATTTATTTGTTAGTTCCGCCACTGAAATTTTATTATGCGTCTGATTTTTTAACACAATCCTCCAAATCATGAACATGTCTTTATTTTGCAGGTTAGAGCGTGTTTAAACTACCAAATTCCCTGAAATGCTGATGATAATTGTGTGTTATCATACACTTCACTCAATTGTTTTTAAGTAACAGATTTTTAGAATTTTTTCTTATTTATATATCAATGGGGCGGGGATGGGGACCCAGATTTTATCCCCAGCGGGTATCGGGGGCGGGGGCGAGGGCGGTTTAAATTTGCGGGGGCGGGGACGGGGAACGTAAAACCCGCCCCCGCCCCGCCCCGTTGCCATGCCTACTCTAAAGGCATCTTGGGAGGAACTTGATAATTTTCGTCCTTTTCCACCGTGTGATTGCCAAGCCCGTGTTTACCATCAACAGGATTTTATTATCCGCTTTCTCAAGGGTCTTGATGACAGATTCAATGTTGTTCGTTCCCAAATTTTACTAATGGATCCTCTACCTTTTGTTAACAGAGTCTTTTCCATGGTCATTCAAAATGAATGACAGCATGCTACTGTCGTTTCTCCTCTAGATGCGCCAAATGACTTTGCTAATAATGTCATTTCCCCTTTAGCAAATGCCACTGACGCACGTTCGTTTTATGGTAAAACTTGTAGTGGTAGAGGTGGTGGACCAAGTGGCAGAGGCAGTGGTGGCCAAACCCAACAAGCCAGATCTTCAAAAATGTGTGTTTAATGTAAGAGAACAGGGCACACTGTCGACGTTTGCTATAGAAAACACGGTTACCCTCCTGGTCATCCACGATATCCGGGTCGTCCATGTTTCTACAACCCCAATGGTGGTTCTTCTTCTAGCAGTCCTTCCTCTGTTAACTACACAGCCACCGATGACCAACTTTCTCTGTCGCAAAAATTTGTTGAGCAATAACATGGACCAGGTCTTAACTTCACTCAGGCCCAATATCAGCATTTAATGTCTCTACTCCAACAAGTCACAGGTGGTACAAATAGCAATGAGCCTCATTCTTCCACTCGGGTCAACCTCATTCAAAAAGGCCCAAATTCTTTTTCTGGTCCTAGTGGTAACACGCCTTTTATTTTTTGTAGTGTCACACCACAAACTTCCCATGTCCTCTCTTTCAATTCATTATATAATTCTTCATCTTGTATTGTGGATTCTGGAGCAACTAATCACATTAGTTGTTCTCTAAAAAAATTTCAAGTTTTTTTCAAAAATAAAACCCATTAATATTCATCTACCCAATGGTTCCATAGTCACTTCACATTATGCTAGCACGGTTCATTTTGCTCCAAATTTTACAATTTATAATGTGCTTTATGTTGCAGATTTTAGCTTTAATCTTTTTTTCCATTTCAAAATTCCTTTCAACTGTCAATCACAAATTAACCTTTTCGGGTCTTTTATGCCAAATCTAGGAACTGAGCACAATGAAGATGGTTGGTTTGGCTAAGCTTCAACAAGGTCTTTATCATCTGGTCACTCAACAAAACTCCAGTCACACACCTTATGTTCCTTCTGTTAATCACCTCTCTGTTTCTACCATCAACCACCACAATATTTGGCATTTTCGTTTAGGACATTTATCCAACACAAGACTCAATGTTTTACATGAACAATATCCTTTTATTTCCAAGCCTATTAATGAACCTTGTGATATTTGTCATTTAGCTAAACAAAAGCAATTATCATATTCTGTTAGTACTAGCAAAGCCTCAAAAATATTTGATCTTATTCATATGGATATATGAGGCCCTTTCTCTCAAGTTTCTATCCATGGTCACAAATATTTTCTTACAATTGTCGATGATTTCAGTAGATTTACATGGGTTGTTTTATTAAAAACAAAAGCAAAGGTCCAAATTAATATTGAAAATTTTATTGCCTTAATTGAAACACAGTTTGACTCTAAGGTAAAAATTCTTCGTTCTGATAATGGCCTAGAATTTTCCCTAAAAGACTTTTATGCCTCTAAAGGTATTATTCACCAAACAAGTTGTCCTTACACCCCTCAATTAAATGCTAGAGTAGAATGCAAACACCAACATATTCTCAATGTTTCCTGGGCACTTATGTCCACTCTCTCAACCTTTCCTTCAATAAAATAACCAACAAAAACAAAACATGAAATCTAAGCATAGTACTTATGAATAACTATTTTACTCACAAAATTTTTACAATATACTGTATATTTTTTTTTCATCTTTCCGTCACGCGTCATATTAACTTTTTCTCTCACTTTATTGTAGAAGTTGTAGTAGGACATTTTTCATCTATTATTTTGATTGAAAGGGTAACAAGGCGATGGAACAATAAAAAGACAAATTAGAACCTTCAGGTATGTCTGCAGCTATGACAGCGAGTTCAGCTAATAACCATAAGCAGTACTTGACCAATAATGGGTATTCCGCTTTGCATAATTCTGAAAGGTGTTTGCCTGCAAAATCCAAACCACAGACATAATTTTCTCAAAAAGAGAAAACATTTCATACTAATAATCTTCACATATATTTATTGCAACTACCACTTCTCTCTCATTCATTAGATAGGAACGGTTACATATCACAAGTACAATCTCAATTATCAAACTAGTCAACTTGATAAACAGTATATATTAATAGTAGCGTTACCAGTGGTTACGCCAAGATTCGCAGCCAATGATTGAATTATAAGCGCAAACACCAGTCCAATAAGTATTACCCACAGCAGCTGAATACAACACAACATATAAAGAGATTCATTAAATAATAGAGTATTAAAGAATATGTTGCTAAAAAAAACTTATATTTCTTCGTTCAGATTTCCTGTTTAATTGGCTTGTATTCTAATTAACTTGTTGCTTAATAGATATACCTCATATTTGTGGTCAGCTCCAGCTTGCAGATCAGTTTCCACTGCGTAAATGAGAAAATTAAAAATAAATAAGCGCTTGCATGTACATATATATGACATAAAGTGAGAGACATGTATAGAGGTATAGAGAGAGAGCTACTGTTTCCAGGATCAAGGTAAGCCAAGGAGACCAGAAAGCCAGGACCTACATATGCCAAAAACTTTTTCCACCCAGGTTTCTGTGTCATTAATAATGCATCAGTGTTATATATCACATAGATGAAGCTAATAAAGACTCACCCTAGTGCTTGAAATACTTAAGTGCACCAAAAAATGTGACTAGAAAAGAATGTTAAAAAGTTAGGCATAGAGAGAAAGAAAGACCTGGGGATGAGATTGAGATGGTGCAGGAAGGTCGTTAGAGGGGGTGGCATTGACGGCTACTATGCGGTTGCTACCTTCCTTCACTTGCTGCTGGGTTAAGCTTGCCATCATGTGTCTGCAGTGAAGTGCAAGGGTCAAGATTTGATTGAATTTGAATGAATAAAGTTATAAGTTTGCATATTTATATTCAACAGTGATGACGTGCTCTTTC